TGGAACATGAAGACAAATAGAAAAGAAAGAAGAGTAAAAATCAACCCTGGACTCAGCTGTGTACACACACACACACACACACAGACACACACACAGGCCTTTGATTTTAGTGGAGTTGTCATTAAAGTCAGCGTCAGCTCCTAAAGGTTGGACTGATCATAAAAGGACTTGTTCGACATCGTTGACTAGAACAGTCAACCCCGCCAACACACACATTCCACAGAGGCTCAGCTTCAGCTGTGGAGGCTGTTGCTGAGCGTGACTCTACCTGAGGTCCAGTGGGAACAGAGTGACGTGAAAATGAACTCACCACAAACGCAGGGTTGACTGAGCCCTGATCCTTCAGCCCCAGCTCGATTTTCTCTTCTGTCGTGAGCTGCATCTCGGCGACGACGGCCCGGTGATGTCGAGATTCTCTGGGAAGAAGTGAGTGGAGCCTTCACGGTGGGAGTTACCGCCTGACTGACCACGGTCAACAAGTGCGGCTGACTTGGTTGGTGATCTCTTCTCTGACTCTGGAGTGTTTGTGGTCTGCAGCTGAGCAGACGCAGGTTTTTGTTGCCCTGACTTACAGAACGGTCATGTGCCTGTTTGTGTGTGACGACTGGATCCTGTGAGAGCGGACGAGCACGTTTGTCACATGAATGAATTCATCATACGCATTAAAACCGTTTCCTCTTATCACGTCTGACTTTGGGATTTTTGGAACCAGTCTCAAGCGGAAGGCGTTTGATTGGACGTCGGCTGACGACCAGGATTCCTTCTCTTACACTGAGTCTCCATCACCATCATCAGTGGACACTGTACCTCCACTGTGATGCCTGACGTCAACAACCAGCACAGAACATTGTGTTTCACCCAGTACATTGTAATTACATCCAGTAATTACTCTTTACTCCAACGCCCGTGGGGAATCTGACATCTGAGTCCAGGCTGACAGACGACTCACACGCGGCAGTGACGCGGGGGGGGGGGGGGGGGGGGGGGGATATTATCACACGTGCAATGCAACATGAACGAATTTCTAACGGGACGTCTTGCGCTAAGCAAATTAATAAATGTATGAAAAAAACGTTAGTGTCTGAAAATGTCATTTGTATTTTCTAAACTTTTTATTTTTATCTTTTAACATTTTAACTTTTGCTTGAAAAAGTTGCGTAAGTGAAGAAACTTTAGCAGATGTTTTATAACTGCATGGTTAGAAATGCAAACCAAAGCCAGGGTGGGATTTGAACCTACACACCTCCGTTGATAAGCATTAAAATGTAAATGGCCATGTTGCATTGCACTTGTCATGATATTCTAGGCATTTCTGACATTTGTGTATTATTATCCTGTTTTAACAACTTTGAACAAAACTTCCTGTAGCAGTGGTTTAACTCGGTGATTTTGTCATGTCTGTCTGTTTCCGTGTTTTCCTGTTGTCTTTGTGGGATAATCTGTGGGATCACACTCACCTGTTGGTGATTGGCTTCACTCGTGTCACCTGGTGTTCCCTGTGTATATATACCCCTCTCCCTCACTCTGTCGGGGTTTTGGATCAGTGTGACTGTGATTCTGATTGTGATTGTGATTGTGATTGTGTTTGTGATTGTGATAGTGATTGTATCTGTTCCTGTGCTCAGCTTAGTGTGTCCTTCGAGTTCTTAGTTTGTACTTAGTAGTTTATTCTTTGTTCCTGGTCTTGTGAAGAAGTGAGTTTTTTTGTTGCTTTGGCCTTGCACTTTGAAAATAAAACTACCTGCACCAGGAAGAGTCTCACCAATACTGCATTTGGGTCCTGCCTGCTTCCTGCCTGCTTCCTGCCTGCCATGTCGTTGCCCACACATGACAGATTTATTTCTAGATTTGTTTTGGAGATTTTTGTCTGTCTGTCCTTGTTGATGCTGAGGGTCCTGCCCAGTGGTTTCCATTGGTTTCCATTGGTATTTTAATTGGTTTTAATTGGTTTTCAAGTCCTTTGAAACTTTATTTGAAACGGTGAAGGAAATGAATGAACGAGTTGACCTGACCAGTCTGTGACAGAGCCACGTATTGAGACAACTCTCCT